TATATTAGAAAAAAAAAAAAAGGAGAGTTATTCATGAGCCGGGCGAGGTGGCTCGCGCCTGCAGTCCCAGCTACTCGGAGGGAGGCCGAGGGGAGGATCGCTGGAGGCCGGAGTTGGAGGCCAGCCTGAGCAAGAGCGAGACCCCCGTCTCTACTTAAAATAGAAACGAGCTGGACAACTAAAATATTGATAAAAAAAAAAAAAAAATGAGCCGGGCGTGGTGGCGCGTGCCTGTGGTCCCAGCTACTCGGGGAGAGCCGAGGGGAGGCTCGCTCGAGTCAGGAGTTCAAACCAGCCTGAGCAAGAGCGAGACCCCGTCTCTACTAAAAATAAAGAAAATACTGGCCAAATAAAAAAGTATATAGAAAATTTAGTTGGCGTGGAGGCTCACGCCTTGTCATCCCAGCTACTCCAAGAGGGAGCCGAGGCAGGAGGCTCGCTAAGGCCAGGAGTTGGAGGCCAGCCTGAGCGCAAGAGCGAGACCCCGTCTCTACTAAAAAAAAAAAAAAAAAATAGAAAGAAATAAGTGAAAATAAAATATATATAGAAAACGAGCCGGCGTGGTGCGCCGACGCCTGTCGTCCCAGCTACTCACGACGGAGGCCGAGGCCGGAGGCTCGCTGGAGGCCAGGAGTCGGAGGGTGCCTGCACTCTGGCCCGAGCTACCGAGGGAGCCTCTTGTCTCAAAAAAAAAAAAAAAAAAAAAAATTTTTAAAAAAGAAAAAATAAATAAAAAGAAAGCAGCAGCTTCAAAAAAAAAAAAACACCAAATATTGGGTAAAAAAAAAACGGAAAAGTCATTTTTCCATCACTCCTTTGTCCTCCCCTTGGGCCTCCACGTCCGCCAAATGCAGTTGTTTTTTTTTTGAGGCGGAAAAGCCCTTTCTGGGCACCTTGGAGGCCGCGGCCTCCTCCAGCCTCACTTGCAATGAATGATAGGCCGGAGGGAGGCGGAAAGGGAAGCCCAAGGAACAAACCCACGTCCGCCAAATGCAGTTTTTTTTTTTTGAGCGGAAAAGCCCTTTCTGGGCACCCTGGAGGCTGCGGCCTCCCTCCAGCCCGCTCTGAATGCAATGAGTAGGCCGGAGGAGCCGGAGAAGGAGGCCCAAGGAACAAAACCCACGTCCGCCAAATGCAGTTTTTTTTTTTTTTTTGAGGCGGAAAAGCCCTTTCTGGGCACCTTGGAGGCCGCGGCCTCCCTCCAGCCTCGCTTGCAATGATAGGCCGGAGGGAGGCCAGAAAGGGAGGCCCAAGGAACAAAACCCACGTCCGCCAAATGCAGTTTTTTTTTTGAGGCGGAAAAGCCCTTTCTGGGCACCTTGGAGGCCGCGGCCTCCCTCCAGCCTCGCTTGCAATGATAGTCGGGGGGCAGAAAGGGAGCCAAGGAACAAAACCTTTTTTGTTTGTTTTTTAATAAGAGGAGGAAGAGACTTGGGGTCGCCCCGCGTGGGCCAAAATCCGCCCTGGGTGTGAGTGACCCCAATGACAGGCCGGAGGGAGGCCAAGAAGAGAGCCAGTGAACAAACCTTTTGTTTTGCGAAACATATATAATTTTTAAAATAATTTTATATAATTTATATAATTTTGTATGATTTTTTAATATGATTTTTATATAATTTTTTTTAGTATATAATCTTCAATACAGACACTCTGTGAGCTTAATTGACATTCTACCATGGTGATGAATTGCATTTGCAGACTTGCAAAGACTCGGCCTCCCGTGCTTGTTTACCGGACAAAAGTAATCGGTATTAATTTGACATATTTAATATATTCAATATTTAATATATTTAATATATATTAAATGAGAATATCTATTAATGCCGTTTAACGTGTATGGAACGGTAACGTATTTACACAATGAGCATAAAATCCCATCAGAGGAGTCGGCGTTATTTTTCTGCTTTCTAAAATTAGGAAAACACAGTCCTATGAGCGACATCGGAATAGACCGGGATTCGAGCAGATCGACCGGGCTCAGAGGATCTTGAGAAGCCCCTCGTATATCCGGCCTCCAAATTCGGTAGCGGAGGCCGGGCGCGGAGGCCCTCGCCTGTCGTCATCCCAGCACTCTGGGAGGAGGCCGAGGCGGGAGGATCGCCCGAGGAGGTCGGGAGTTGGAGGCCGGCCCGAGCAAGAGCGAGACCCCCGTCTCTACTAAAAAAAATAGAAAGAAATTAATCGATCAACTAAAAAATATATATATAAAAAATTAGGCGGGCGCGGAGGCTCAGGCCTGTCATCCCGGCACTCTGGGAGGCCGAGGCGGGAGGATCGCTCGAGGTCAGGAGGTGGAGGCCAGCCTGAGCAAGAGCCAGACCCCGTCTCTACTAAAAGAATAGAAAGAAATTAGCTGGACAACTAAAAGTATAAAGTAAAAGTGAGACAGGCGTGGTGTGGCTTATAGCTGTCATTCCAGCACTCTGGGAGGCCGAGGAGGGAGGATCGCTCGAGGTCAGGAGGTCGAGGCCAGCCTGAGCCAGAGCGAGCCCCTGTCTCTAATAAAAATAAAAAATAAAAAATTAATTGGCCAACTGAAAATAGAAAAAAAATAAAGAAAAAGTTAGCCGGGCGCGGAGGCTCACGCCTGTCATCCCAGCACTCAGGGAGGAGGCCGAGGAGGGAGGATCGCTCGAGGTCAGGAGTTCGAAACCAGCCTGAGCAAGAGCGAGACCCCGTCTCTACTATAAATGGAAAGATATTAATTGGCCAACTAATATATATGTATATATACAGAAAATATCTGGGCGCGGAGGCTCACGCCTGTAGTCCCAGCACTCTGGGAGGCCGAGACAGGAGGCTCGCTCGAGGTCAGGAGTTGGAGGCCAGCCTGAGCAAGAGCAAGACTAAAAATAGAAAGAAATTTGCCAGGTAAAAATACATATAAAAAAAAATCAGGTGGGCATGCTGGCATATGCTTGTAGTCCCACTTAATTCAGGGGCCGAGGCAGGAGGATCGCTGGAGGCCAGGAGTCGGAGGCTGCTGTGAGTGAGGCTGACGCCACGGCGCTCACTCTGGCCTGGGCAACAATTTTTCTCAAAAACAATTTTTTTTTCAAAAAAATAATAAAAAAAATAAAACAGGAGGTGGAGGCGTGAATGCCGAGCAGGTGAAATTATCTCTCACCTTGGGCTGGACCCCAGCACTTTGGGAGGCCAAGGCCGGAGGATCACTGGAGGCCAGCGCTGGGCAACGTAGAGGGACCCCCCAGTCTTGGTGGCCTTTTCCTTCCGGCTGAGGCCAAAATTCTGGGCTAGACGTGCTTGTGGGGGGCGAACGAGCTCTTTATTTTTGAGAAAGAGCCTCGCTCACAGCAGCCTCCAACTCCTGGCCTCCAGCGAGCCTCCTGCCTCGGCCTCCCTCCCGAGTAGCTGGGACGACAGGCACGCGCCACCACGCCCGGCTCATTTTTTTCTATATATTTTAGTTCTCCAGCTCATTTCTATTTTTTTTTTTTTTTTTAGTATTGACGGGGTCTCGCTCTTGCTCAGGCTGGCCTCCAACTCCTGGCCTCCAGCGAGCCTCCTGCCTCTGCCTCCCTCCCGAGTAGCTGGGACCCAGGCATGCGCCACCACGCCCGGCTCGTTTTTTTCTATATATATCAGTTGGCCATTAATTTCTTTCTATTTTATAGTAGAGACGGGGTCGTCGCTCTCTCTCAGGCTGGCTCCACTCCCGCCTCCGAGCGACCCTCCCGCCTCGGCCTCCTCCCTAGTAGCTGGGACTGCAAGCAAGTGCCACCGCGCCCGTCTAATCGTTCTTTTCTGGAGGGACGGGGGTCTCACTGTGTTGCCCAGGCCGGCCTCCAACTCCTGGCCTCGAGGCGATCCTCCGCTCGGCCCCCAGAGTGCTGGGATGACGGGCCTGAGCCTCCGCGCCCGGCCTGACAGTGTTAATTTGTTTTGTAAAAAGTTGCAGTTTCGGTCAGGCATGGACTTGTGTTCGTACTTTATTAAAGACTAGTGTATGAATATGCATATTTTAATATAATAGGGAAGAAAATGTCCAGAAAGGGGTCTTTGAGAAGTATATATTTTTTTCTTTTTCTTTTTTTTTTTTTTTTGTTTAATTTTTTTCTCTGCTTTTTAACTGGGTCTAAATATTAGTAACTGGGAAGTGTATTTGGAAGTCTGATCTTTATTTCTTGGTATGTATTTGATCATTCAGGCAAATATTTTATATTTTATATTTTATATTTACTCCTTGTTCTATCTATATATATATATATAAGTAAGTTCTTGACAATAATCTTTATTTTTTTTTTCCTCCTTTTTTCTGAAGCCGAGTCTCGCTCTGTCGCCCGGGCCGGAGCGAGCGCCGTGGCGTCAGCCTCTGCTCACGCAGCTCCGACTCCGGCCTCCAGCGAGCCTCCGCCTCGGCCTCCCTCCCTGGTACCTGGGACGACAGGCGTGCGCCGCACGCCCGGCTCGTTTTTTTCTTTCCCTATCTATTTTTAGTTGGCCGATTAATTTGTTTCTATTTTTTTTAGTAGAGACTGGGGTCTGCTCTTGCTCAGGCCGGCCTCCAACTCCTGGCCTCGAGCGAGCCTCCGCCTCGGCTCCTCCCAGAGTGCGGGATGACAGGCCTGAGCCTCCGCGCCGGCCATTGACAATATTCTTTTTTTTTTTAATTATCTTAAATTTATTACTTTTCTTGCTTTTCATTTTTCTTTTTTCTTTTTGTTGATCGTCACATCATTCAGGAAGATATATATATATAATTTTTAAATCTTTAATTATTTTAAATTTTTTTTTTTTTTTTTTTTTTGAGACAGAGTCTCACTTTCTTGCCCGGGCTGGCAGTGAGCGCCGTGGCGTCAGCCTCGCTCACAGCAGCCTCCAACTCCTGGCCTCCAGCGGGCCTCCTGCCTCAGCCTCCCAAGTAGCCGGGACTACAGGCGCACCGCCTCCATGCCCGGCTCATTTTTTCTATATATATTTTTAGTTGGTCAATTAATTTATTTCTATTTTTTGGTAGAGACGGGATCTCGCTCTTGCTCAGGCTGGTTTCAAACTCCTGACCTCGAGGATCTCCCGCCTCGGCCTCCCAGAGTGCTGGGATGACAGGCATGAGCCTCCACGCCCGGCCTTATTTTAAATTTTGTACTTTTCGTACTTTTCATTTTTTTTTTGATCTCTAATTATTTTAAATTTTTTTGCTTTTCGTACTTTTTTTTTTTTGATCTTTAATCATTTCAATTTTTCACTTTTTCGTACTTTCATTTTTCTTTTTCTTTTTTTTTTTTTTTGGTGACCGTCTCATCTTTCAGGAAGACAATATTATTATTATTTTATTTTTTAATTTTTTTCTTCATCTTTATTTTCATTTATTATTTTTTCCGGCGTATCGCGGGGGTCCGGATTCTAAGGTTTCAATAAATGCCCTCTTTCTGACCCTCTTTCCCCACAAGTCCAGTCCCGCGCGACCGTCCCAGGAAGAAAACGCCCCGGTCTTTCCGACGGGAACACTTGTTCCTGACACCGTAATATTCCATCTCTCAGACGCCCCGGGGGCTCCCGACCCTCGAGGGTCGAAGTTCCTGAGGGGCCTCTCGGTCATTTGCCGACCCGCAGCCCAGAGGACGCAGAAAGGAGTGACGCGCCCTGTCTGTTCTTTCGCAGGCGAAAGGGGAGGACGAGGAAGAGAACAATCTAGAAGTGCGGGAAACCAAGGTCAAGGGCAGAAGGTGAGCCGGCGCGCGGGGTGTTTCTTTTTTTTGTTTGTTTGTTTGTTTTTTGTTGTTTGAGGCCGAGTCTCGCTCTGTCGTCCCGAGTGCCGTGGCGTCAGCCTCGCTCACGGCGGCCTCAGACTCCCGGCCTCCAGCAATGAGCCTCCCGCCTCGGCCTCCCTCCCTCCCGAGTGGCTGGGACTAACAGGCATGCGCCTCCACCACGCCCGGCTCGTTTTTTTTTTCTATATATTTTTAGTTGTCCAGCTAATTTCTTTCTATTTTTTATTTATTTTTTTAGTAGAGACGGGGTCTCGCTCTTGCTTAGGCTGGCCTCCAATTCCTGGCCTCGAGCGATCCTCCCTCCTCGGCCTCCTCTCGAGTACATGGGGCTAACAGGCATCTGGCTGATTTTTTCTATCTTATGTTTTTAGTCATGCAATTAATTTATTTCTATTTTTAGTAGAGAGCCGGGATCCGGCTCTTGCCCAGGCTGGCCTCCGACTCCCAGCCTCCACAGTGATCCTCCCTCCTCGGCCTCCCTCCCAAGTACCTGGGATTACAGGCATCTGGCTAATTTTTTCTGTATATATTTTTAGTTGTGCAATTAATTTATTTCTATTTTTAGTAGAGAGACGGGGTTCTGCTCTTGCCCAGGCTGGCCTCCGACTCCCAGCCTCGAGCGATCCTCCCTCCTCGGCCTCCTCCCGAGTACCTGGGACTACAGGCATCTGGCTAATTTTTTCTGTATATATTTTTAGTGGTGCAATTAATTTCTTTCTATTTTTAGTAGAGAGGCGGGGTCTCACTCTTGCTCAGGCTGGCCTCCGACTCCCAGCCTCGAGCGATCCTCCCTCCTCGGCCTCCTGAGTACCTGGGACTACAGGCATCTGGCTAATTTTTTCTACATATATTTTTATTTGTCCAGCTCATTTGTTTCTATATTTTTAGTAGAGCCGGGGTCTCGCTCTTGCTCAGGCCGGCCTCCACCTCCCGGCCTCGAGCGATCCTCCCTCCTCGGCCTCCCTCCCGAGTAGCTGGGACTACAGGCATCTGGCTAATTTTTTCTACGTATATTTTTAGTTGTCCAGCTCATTTCTTTCTATATTTTTAGTAGAGGGACGGGGTCTGGCTCTTGCTCAGGCCGGCCTCCAACTCCCGGCCTCGAGCGATCCTCCCTCCTCGGCCTCCCTCCCGAGTACCTGGGACTAAATGCATCTGGCTAATTTTTTCTGTATATATTTTTAGTGGTGCAATTAACTTCTTTCTATTTTCAGTAGAGGGACGGGGTCTCGCTCTTGCTCAGGCCGGCCTCCAACTCCCGGCCTCGAGCGCGATCCTCCCTCCCCGGCCTCCGTGGGGCCGCCGCCGGGGCGTGGGGCCTCCGCGCCCAGCCTCCACCTTCTCCCGTCTCCTTTCTCTCTCTCCCCCCTCCCCGCACCCCCCCAGCGGCCGGTTCTTCACGGTCAAGCTGCCCGCCCCGCTGGACCCGGGCTCCAGGGTGTCGCTGGTGGTGGAGGCCGTGTACACCCACGCGCTGCGGCCCTACCCGACCCACATCACGCAGGCCGAGAAGCAGTTCGTGGTGTTCGAGGGCAACCACTACTTCTACTCGCCCTACCCCACGGCCACGCAGACCACGCGCGTGCGGCTGGGCTCGCGCAACGTGGAGAGCTACAGCCGGCTGGGCAACCCCGCGCGCTCCGACGACGTGCTGGACTACGGGCCCTTCCGCGACGTGCCCGCCTTCAGCCAGGTAGGCCCGCGGAGGTCCCGCGAGGGGCGGCCTCGGCCTCCGATTCTTTTCGGATCGGGGCGGCCTCGGCCTCTTAATTTTTTCGGATCGGGCGGCCTCGGCCTCTAATTTTTTTCGGATCGGGCAGCCTCAGCCTATAATTTTCGGATTGGGTGGCCTCGGCCTCTAATTTTTTTCAGATCAGGCGGCCTCAGCTTCTGATTTTTTTCGGATCGGGCGGGGTCAGCCTCTAATTTTCGGATCAGGCAGCCTCGGCCTCTGATTTTCGGATTGGGCGGCCTCGGCCTCTAATTTTTTTCGGATCGGGCGGCCTCGGCCTCTGATTTTTTTTGGATCGGGCGGCCTCAGCCTCTAATTTTTTTCGGATCGGGTGGCCTCGGCCTCTGATTTTCGGATCGGGCGGCCTCGGCCTCTAATTTTTTTCGGATCGGGCTGCCTCAGCCTCTAATTTTTTTCTAATCGGGCGGCCTCCGCCTCTAACTTTTTTTGGATCGGGCGGCCTCGGCCTCTAATTTTTTTCGGATCGGGCGGCCTCAGCCTCTAATTTTTTTCGGATCGGGCGGCCTTGGCCTCTAATTTTTTTCGGATCGGGCGGCCTCGGCCTCTAATTTTCGGATCAGGCGGGCTAAAAGCCACGGCCCACGTGTGGCCCTTCCTCTTCTGTTTGTTCTTTTTTTTTGTTTTTTTTTTTTAAGACCGAGTCTCGCTCTGCAGCCCGGGCTGGAGTGAGTGCCGTGGCGTCAGCCTCGCTCACAGCAACCTCCAACTTTGAGGCTCAAGCGAGTCTCCTTCCTTGGCCTCCTCCCTCCCAAGTAGCTGGGACTACAGGCATGCGCCACCACGCCCGGCTCGTTTTTTGTATATATTTTTAGTTGTCCAGCTCATTTCTTTCTCTTTTTTTAGTAGAGACGGGGTCTCGCTCTTGCTCAGGCTGGTTTCGAACTCCCGGCCTCGAGCGAGCCTCCCGCCTCGGCCTCCCAGAGTGCTGGGATGACAGGCCTGAGCCTCCGCGCCCGGCCTGCCCGTTTGTTTCTTTACTTCAAAATGAGAGATTTGCAGTGTGCACAAGAATTTGGTCGCAGTTCTTCGGGAAACTCTAGTCCGGCTCCCCACCTTTCTGGGGGACGGTGAGGCGGCCCCTGCTCAAAAAGTTTGGGGGCCCGGCTTCAGTCCCGCAGAGTGACATGGAGATATGGAGTCATTTTAGGCGGGCGCGCGTGTGTGTACACAGCAGGCGCCGACTGTGTGCTGTCCCCGCAGGCCGTGCTGCGCGCGCACTTCGAGAACAACAGCCCGTTCCTGACGGTGACGGGGCTGGCGCGGGCCATCGAGGTGTCGCACTGGGGCAACGTGGCGGTGGAGGAGAGCGTGTGGCTGCGGCACT